ATCACAGAATGGTTTGTGTTGGAGGGAACCTAAAAAAGTATTTAATCCCAACCCCCCTCCATCTCTAAGAGCTGTAAATGATTTAAAAGTGAAAAAGGGAGTGCAAATACCAAATGTAACATGAATAAATATTGGCAGCTGGCCCTGGTATCATGTTCAGTGGGCTCCCAGCTGATTCTTCACCCACAGTGCATTTGCCTTTCCTTCCTCCCAGCTGGCACTGAGGTAGCAACAACCTCAATTACAAATTTTGGGAAGTTTTTTACTGTTACCAGACTTGTAACAGAGTTTAAGGCTTCACTTAACATAAAACTGAGCTATTTTCTGGCTGTCTGCAAAAAATGGAACACGAGCTAACATTAAATAATAGATCAGGCAGGGTTTTGAGGCCAAAATCCCATTCTTAATGGATTTTTAAAAAACACACTGACAAGCACAGCCCTCTGTTGATGCAGGCTGGTTTCTGGGAATGCAGTGACCAAGGATTTGCATCTGTTTGCATGTAGAACTTGTAACTGTGGAACAAGCCAGGGCTCCCAAGCACAGATGAATGTTTGTTGATTCTGCCCTAATTGGTGTTGCATTAATAGCAGCAAGAGATCCCAGCCCTACACGTGGTGCTACAGAAACAGAACAGATGCTCTGTTCCAATGATCTCAGCTTAAAACTGAGCCTGCAGCTTAACACCAGCCTAGCAAAGTCCCTTAAGGTACCAGTTGTTTAAAAAAAAAAAAAGAAAACATTTTTAGGAATAGTGTTGACCTTTCTGAGCTCTTTTTTTCTCCAGGGAAATTTAATTTCATTTAGAGGAAATATAACCATGCTGTTTGAAAGTATCACAAGGGTTTTTCTGCACTGTCAGAATTTTCTTTGGAACAGAAAAATCTTCCTGGTATTACCAAACAAACAGAAAATCTTACAAATATATTCCACCAAGCAACAAAAGGGAAAGAAGTTAAAGGGTTTTGTCAGTATAAATGGCCTTGGGGCTGAAGTTATTTTCTGTATCTTTTAATCCCTTTCTGAAAGGTCTGGAAGCTCCCTGTGTTACCCATGAAACCTTCCCACAGTCACAACTGCCCCTTCCCAGCTTCCATCACCACCAAGTCCACTGGAAATTTAGGAGTGGCAGTCCTGACATTTAGAGATTAAATCCTGATTTAAGCAAAATAACTCTTAAAAAAAAAAAGCCAAAATGGATGTTGAAAGCAGAGAGTTGGGCTATGAACATTAAATAGTGTAAAATAACATAACAACCATTCCCAGAATGATTTGGGTTCGATGAGACCTTAAAGCTCATCCCATTCCCACCCTGCCATGGGCAGGGACACCTTCCACTGTCCCAGAGTGCTCCCAGCCCTGTCCAAACTGGCCTTGGGCACTGCCAGGTACAAACACTTTCATCTCCATCTCTCAGCTAGGCAGGAATCTGCAGTTTTAGGAATTTCCCTGAGAATTTGCAGTTTTTGTTGGGCCATGGGATAGAAGACATGGATTGGTCTTAATGAACTTATGGGACAGAAACCACTGCCATGAGAAGCTTCCCTGCTATCTAACATCTTTATCAACCAGGTGAAAAATGATGAACTCTAATTCTTCTTCCACTTTTGTTTCTCCCACAGGCATGTCACAGGCAGGTTTCCTGACTACCCCCTTGAGAAGGCAGGTGGTTCCAAGGCGATTATTGTTGAAAAACATCCAGAGGAGGTACTGTCCCTCTTTTAATGAAAAAAACCTCATGGTGTTGCAGAAGGATTTGCTACAAAACATGTCTGTTTATTTAAGTAGCAATTTTCCCTAACAGTGGCTCCAGTTCTCCAAGACCCTTATGGTTAAAAGCTTTTTGTTGCAAATGAAAGAATGAAGTTTTTTCCCAGGGTGTTTTCATCAGGTGCTAAAATCTGTTCCGTTGGGCTCTGCAACCACTTAATCACCACTGAAGGTGCTCAGGTGATGGGAAAGAAGTAGAGAACAGCAGAGGAGAGGTTCCAGTGCAGGCAGGGCTAAGCCTTGATTTACTGCCAAGCCTCATTAAGCAAATTGAACATCCCAGCAAAGGAAGTATCTCAGTTTATCTTGTGTGTTGAAGGTTGTTTTTCCTGATAAATCCCTCTCCTGATTTCTCTGGCTAATGGAAGTGGCTGATAATCTCTTCCTCTGATCACTGGGTGTCACACAGGGAAAGTGATTGAGCCCAGCCGAAGGCAGCACTGAGCACTTGGAGCCTTTCCCACCCATCCCGAGCAGCCAAGGGGGTCATGGCTCTGGTGGGGGACAACAGGAAGCAGGATTTGGCCCCTGAGTCAACCACTGTGCTGGGCTAGCAAAACTTCAGAGGTCAAAACCCAAACTCTGTGGTCCTGAAAACCCCACCCCTGAGATTGTTACATGATTTTTCTGCAGCTGGTGCATGGTAAAAGAGGATTTTTGTAGAATCACAGAATGGTTTGTGTTGGAGGGAACCTAAAAA